ATCCGTGCCTACTGTCTGTACTCAGCAATTTTATTAACCAGCTGTTTCCAAAAGCCATTGTTGGTAAGCCACAGTGTGTTCGCCGACCCCAAACCCGACTGAAGGATTTGAAGCCGGAAGTTGTCACTAATCCACCGTACAGAGCTTACGTTGCAACTTTCCACATCCTTACTGTACCAAATGATTTGCAAAGACCTCTTGTAGCCAACCGGCGAAGTAACCCGAATCTTGCCGTTGCTTCGGGAGCTCATTCTTCAAAATATTAACGGTCCTATTACAGAAGTCCGGCTATAACTCGGTGATAAGTAGCCATCCGATCAGAAGCTGACTAACGCTTCACAACTTTATTCAGGATAGCAGGGCTTCGACTCTCGAATATTTTACTACGAGCTGACGCTCTCGAAAAGGAGAGAAAACTTAAACCCTTAAACGCTTTTCATGCTGGCTCCGTGCTGCGGTGGAAATTGTCTTTTTCTGTGCGTTCTTTGACTTTTTCTTCTTCAGAACCTTGATCGATCCATCGCGACACACCTTAACCCGTGCATCGGGTACGGTAGTAATTTCTTGAGCTGGCGCGTCGAAACCGGCTATCTTTTTAGTCTTTTCAAGAACAACGGCATTTGCGGTTTCTGTATAACAGAAGAAACAAACCCATACAATGAACCCTTTTTCGATCGCACGAGATGTACTCGTTGCTTAAATGGGGGATTCGAAACTCTGAGACCTACCTTGGTTGATGTATATCGGAAGTGAAAGTTTGCCCATCTTCAGGTACAGACTTCTGATGTTATTCCAGCCCGCCGGAAAGTGTTTCTTGAGGAAAGATATGGCGTGGTCCACGTTCTTGACCATTTCTTCCTGTGTCTGGTCAAGTGAACCGACCTCCATTGTGCTACAATCACGAACCAACCTCGTTTTCGTGAACGACCAACATCGCGAAGTGCAACCTCTGTTCTGATCACAAGATTACCTTTGCGGTCCTTTTCCGTTGACTGTCAGGTATGTGGCGCGGATTGCGGATCGGATGCTGGATGCAATCGTGGAAGAGTTCTCGATGATCACAGCGACCGGAAATCTGGAGAGTACGTATCGAAATTTGTCCTGCTTACCGGTAGTGTTTAGAACCAAAACCGATGCAACTTTGATGACCATACTTATTCTTGACGAAGAACTTTGAGCCGAGGACAGTGGCAAGCTTGCCGTAAATCCTTTCGTCCGCTAGGAAGAGGTCATAACGACCGAGTAATTTCCGTTTTGCTTCAAATGGTTTGTACTCAGCTCGGAGCTGCGAGTACGTGATGACCTGAAAACGAAAGTTTTGTGAAACTATCTAACAGTCGCGCAAACTTCCGCTTCTGAAGTACAATAGTATTATACAATACAATATTGTCTTACTTCCGTAATACCAATGACACCACAGGTTCGTAGGTATTCCTTGTACCGGAGAACGCCGCGCTCCTGGTCGAACAGCTTGTCCTTGCTGGTGTCTTTTATGATCAAGCAGACTTCTGCCGAGCCTTCTATGCGAAAAGGTGCCGGGAGATCGCTGAAATCAAACACACAAGGTAAATGTCTGAAGAGGATTCCTGAGGAGGTTGCTCGTAATGGGAATAGGTGAAACCTTATGGGAATGTCTCACCATTTCAGTTTCTTGTATGACGATGGGGGCATACGAATCTGGACTATTGTAAGCTGCAGTTTCTCGTCTTCGGTTAGGAGGGATTTGTTTGCCGTCGGACGTTCCTCCTGCGACTTTTTGTGTCCCGACACCAATACCGATACGGCCTTCTCCACCTACAAGTAAGATACATTTGTAGAGCTGGATGGAACAGTATCAATTCACGGAGTACTATTCCACCTGGTCTGTAGCGTAATCCATATTATCTGCGCTTTCCGGCAAGCAAACGACTCCGGTGTATCCTCGGCTGATACTGTAGAAGCTACCCTAAGAAGTACTGAAGTTTTCGATCAGTCGTCAGCCGGGAAGATTTGAGCAGGAGACGATCGGGAATCGCAAGTGGGGACAGAGTCACAAAATCCAACGAGCACAGAGCCACAAGCCAAAATCGAGCAATAAAATATAAATCGCACACAAAACTGGTACAGCGGCATGCAGAAACTGCGACACCCGTGGCCAGCCGATCCATACGAAGCCGGACCGATCCACAATGCCGTCGCCGAAACGAGCTGCAAGGCAGACACACGGAGTTACGGTTTTAGTTGAATCTGGACAAGTCGGATCGTCTGGACCGACCTCGAGAAATATGGCAGATTTCAAAAGCTGTACTGTTATTGACTTATTGTTAAATTCTGCTACAGTAGTATTTCGCAATAACGTCCATCAGGCATCAGCTGTCGTGCTTTTGCAGCTTTTCCCTGCGCTGGCTGTTTGATTATTTCCGTTCGACTTGTCAGGAAGTCCGGGATTCTCGTCGCTTGATGCACTATCTCAGATACTTTCCTCGTTTGTCAGATAGCTGTCTACCTGATGGTGTTGATTGCTTGCCGTAGGACTGGAGTAATCGGATATCCCGGATGACCATCGAGACAGAAGCTCGTGAAGGATGGATGCGCTACAGAGCGATGAAATCACCGTAAGTGCAGCAGTGTGTCTAATGAGAGATGCTTCTGGCTTACGCGCAAGGATGTTTTACAGGGAATTCTAAACGGCAAGGATCTTTTCATGGTTAGTGCACAGCCGGAAGAAGGCGCCGACAAGCTCTCTGCGATTGAATGCTGGAGCATCTCTTCTCAGTCCTGCCAGAAGGTATACACATACCGGAATAGCTTCGTGTCCTTCAGGACGCTGGATTTTATTGGTAATACCTACATCGCTGGAGGAGCGCTGAGGAAACCGTGGATTAGCGTATGGCCTCTGAACCAGCCGGTAATGTATCTTCGCGGAATACTCCATGTAGTTTTGGACACTTCCGGTTGACGTTGACTTACATGTTCTGTATTCTGTAGACACCTGTCCAGCCACCTCTACTCATACCTTCCACTACGAGCGCACTAGCAATCAGTCCTGACGGATCCATCCTTGTTGTAGCGATAATGAATAAGATCCATGTTTACGAGGTGAATCTGTTTATCCGAGCCGATGGACAAAACTACGCCGAAAAATGATACTAACATTTCGTTTTGTTGAACGTGTATTAGATTTCCACAGGTGATTTCCTCGCCGTCCTTTCGCGGCATTACTCTCCAGTGAGCCGTCTCGCTTTCAGTACAGAAGGGAGGTTCTTCGTGAGTGCTGGTCAAGATGGCATGGTTCTCGTTTGGAAAACGGCAGAGTAAGTTCGTCGTAGTTGTCCTCAACTATTTCCTTCGAACTGCATCTAGTTTGAGAGCCTGCAATTAACCTCGTCGTTCCTGTTAATTGTAGGGTGTTCACGATGGGAGCATCAAGCTCACCCCAAGTCGTTTCTACCCAAGGCCGCATTGAAGACGTTGTGTTTGCTGGTAGCGACTGCGGACTATCTTTGATGGCTCTGGTCGGATCGGATCACGCCTGCCGGGTAAGGCCCAGATTTCCCGTGTGGGCTATTATTACAGGTTGTTCGAGGTTTGTCTCATCGTATATAGGTGTACGAAACGCTGTCTGCTAGTCAGGGACCTTTGGGGACCTTCCTGTTCCGGAAGCCTCTGGTCGCTCTGACCGGAAATCTTTCAGCTACTAACTTGGCCATATCGGACGACAGTGGCATGGTTTACCGCCTGCCTCTGATAACTGAGGTATGGAATTATAACTCGGTACCAGAACGGATATAGGCTAATGAGATCACAGCAGAGGCAACGTGTCTTGGTTTTGTACAGGAAGCCAGATCGGCATTTCCTCAGATTATGTCAGAGAATGACTGGAATCAGCGTCACCAGTTTTCCGGCCACACGTAAGAGCCATAATTTTTCTTGCGCTAATTAAACTGTCATTTGAGTCCCTTGCGGTTTCTGAACGCTGCTAAGCTTATATCTGCATGCAGGAAGACAGTTCGCTGTTTACAATTCAACACGGATGGAAGCTTGCTGGTCACGGGATCAGATGATAATACGGTGCGCATATGGCAAGTCAAAAGCAGAGTTTGCGTCAGAGTTCTGCAATTCAAAGGTAAGACAGTGTTCCAAACAAACGAGAAAGGTAGACACATAATGGGACGTGGGCTGATGATAAACCAGATCGTTTTCCCAAGTAGCGCACAACTTCAGCTAGTAGCAATGGAAACGTGCGCTAGTTGAGATAGCGACCCGTTTCAGTTCACTTGCCCACGTCCCGGATGCAAAGCCGCCCCAATCGCACTGTTAATGGTCCGAATTTTTCCAGAATTGATAGTTAATGGGGTTCGTTCGCAGGTCCAGTGACGAACCTCTTGCGATGTCCGCACCCAGAGTCGGTCTTTAGCAAGAAGAATCTGATGCTGTCTCGGCCACTGGTTCCTCTTCAGCGGCAGTTAGTTGGAGATAGCTCTGACAAAAGAGATGGTTTCTCGGATTCACAGTTCTCCGCCACGGTTCGTCACTCAATTAAGCGAGGAAATCTTTAAGAATAGTGCATGAAGTATTTATTACTTTGTAGGGTATCTCGTCAGCATTGGCGTCACGGTTTAGCGAACAGCCGGAAGCGGAAACCCATGCTCTTTCAGTGCAACCGGAAATGCAGGCTAGGCTGGACGAAGCACTGGAAAGAGAAGCCGAACTGTTTGATCAGTTGCAGGCTAAGGACGC